TATGAGTCATTATACTCATCTCCCCGTCTCTTCTGTTCTACCTCTCTAGGTAAAGAGTTTCATTAGCTTCTGATTCATTCTTCCTGCTCAAATTAGAAGTCTTATCTTATTTCCCCTTCATTTTCACTTAAAGAGTAGCCTGCTACCAATGCTACTTTACACATTGCTTATTTTCCACTTGACAATACATCCCGATGTTTCTCCATCTTGATTCATAGATATCTTTGTGTTGTTTTTTTTTTCCACAGTTGCACAGTAATTTCATTGAATTTCTGTAGAATTTCCTGTATGGGTCCTAGAATGAGATATTGGAGATAGCGTCCTAAATGGCCACTGAATTGTGTACCTCAAATGGCTAAAATGGTCAATTTCATGTTTTGAAAAATAAAGTACAATTAAACAATATAGAGGATATAAGAAGTAACCACTGCATACAGCACAGTAAATAATTATAAAGTAATAATAGGGTATCATTAATCAGTTAATACTTGAAGAATGGAATAACAACACACGGGGCGGACCAAAAAAAGAAAGCCCTGATTTTATTTATTAAAAGTTGTGTATTTATTCTTACATATTTCAGCTTCGGTCACATTCAAAGTATTCTCCATTTGATGCACTACACCTGTAGAGACTTTTCTTCCATTGCTCCAAACTGTATTTGAACCCATGGATTTTGATGCCTTTTAGCGCTTCTGCCATTTTTTGTTTAACTCGTCCACACTGGCAAACGTTTCTCTTTTTTTGGTCGTCTTCTTATTTTATTAGAGAAGGCTGGTACCAACGGTTCAAATTTATATATTTAAAATTTTTTACCTGTATTTTCATTTTATTTTTTATCGTTGTTCAGTAACAGCTGTCCCACCGTTTTCCCTGTTGCTCTCCCCTGCCCCGTTCTCCCCTGAACCCTCCCCTGTTCCCACAGCCAGTTCCCACCCCATTGTCTGTGCCCTTGAGTCCTCTATTCATGTTCCTTGACTTGCCTCTTCCCCCTTCTTTCCCCTCTTATCCTGCTCCCCTCTCCCTGGTCACTCTTGAGTTTGTTCTTTACTTCCATGTCTCCGTTTCTGTTTCGCTGAACAAAGTGTTCCTTTTTGAGGACTTTTTTCATTGGGGAAAACAAAAGAGAAAGTACACTAGAACACTCAGGTAGCAGGCAAAGCCTGTACTACAGGGGCCTGCCCTCCAGTAGACAATTCCATCTTGAGGGTCTCCTTTCACATACACTTAATCAATCAAAAGGGAAGAAGACAAGGCTCTCTGCCCCTCCTGTTGGACAGAGAGCTGCGTCTTCCTGCACAGTGCCAGTCGCAACCTGAGCCGTGATTGTAAAGGTTGGAGTGAACAGGTTTGGCCAAATTGGGCGCCTGGTCACCGGGACTGCTTTTAACTCTGGCAAAGTAGATATTATTGCCATCAGTGACCCCTTCATCACCTCAACGCCACGGTCTGCTTGATCTGGTATGATTCTACTCATGGGAAGTTCAAGGGTAGAGTCATGGCTAAACAGGAAGCTTTTCATCAATGAAAAGTCCATCTCCATGTTCCAGGAGAGATGTCCAGCCACCATCCAATGGGCAGATGCTCATGCTAAATATTTTGTGAAGGCCACTGGTGTCTTCACTACCTTGGAGAATCCTGTGGTTCACTTGAAGGGTGGAGCCAAGAGAGTCCTCATTTCTGCCCGTTGGCATGCCCCCATGTTTGTGATGGATGTGAATTATGACAGGTATGACAACTCCCTCAAGACTGTCAGCAATGCTTCCTGCACCACCACCTAGTGCCCTCGCCCCAGCCAAGGTTATCCATGTCAACTCTGGCATGATAGAGGGACTCATGGCCACAGTCCATGCCATCAGTGCTACCTGGAAGACTGGACGGCCCCTCTGGGAAGCTGTGGTATGATGGCTGAGGGGCTGCCCAGAGCACCATCCCTGCTTCTACTGGCCCTGCCAAGGCTGCGCGCAAGACCATCCCTGACCTGAATAGAAGTTCACTCACGTGGCCTTCCATGTCCCCACCCTCAGTGTATCAGGTATGGATCTGATCTGCCACCTGGAGAAAGCTACCAAATATGGTGACATCAATAAGGCAGTGAAGCAAGCATGTTAGGGTCCCCTCAAGTGCATGCTGGGTTGTACTGAGGACCAGATTGTCCTCTGCAACTTTAACAGTGACGCTCCTACAGCTTCAGTGCTGGGGCTGGCATTGCTCTCAGTCACCACTTTGTTAAGCTCATTTCCTGTAATGACAACGAATCTGGCTACAGCAACAGGGTGGTGGATCTCATGGTTCACGTGGCCTCCAAGGAGTAAGAACCACCTGGACCACCAGCCCCAGTGAGAGAACGAGAGGCCCTCAGCTGCTGGGGAGTCATTGCCCCAGATTGATCCCCCAACACACCAAGAACCTCCAGGCTTGCACATTTCCATTCAGATCCCCTCAAGAAGGGAAGTCATAGGGAGCCCTACCTCATCATGCACCTTAAGTAAAGATCTCTGTACCCAGTCCACCCCCCAAAAGGGAGGAAGACAAGAGAGAATAAATATGAAACAGATGTGTCAAATAAAAAATATAGTAATTTAGAAAATCAAGTTCAAAGATACTATTATTACATTAGATGTGAATAGATAAACTTCTCCAAAAATATAATTGTTGCTTTACATAAAAAAGGCAAAATCCAACTTTCCACCATTAACAGTGGACGCCTCTTAGATATAAAGACATAGAAAATTTTACAGTGATGGAAAAGAAATGCCATGAAACTCTAACCAAAAGAAAGCTGCATCTTTACTAGATATATTATACTAGTATTTATATCTGTCTGTATCTGTATCTATGTACACATCTATGCATATGGAAATAAAATTCCATAGTAATATCAGAAGTAGATGAACTGTTAAGAGAGGACCCATTGCTAGAAATATCTGCTAATTATAAACCAAGTGATGTGCTCTAAAATGCATTTTTTATCCTCACAGGAAGATGTATTTTTATTGATTTTAGAGAGAGAGGAAGGGAGAGAGAGGGAGAAATATGGATGTGGGAGGGTGTTACCGAACAAAAGGACCCGTTGGTGAGGGCAGTGCATAGATGCTATTACCGAAAGAACGACACCCTCCTTCCCTGGGACCGCTCGGTTACGGGTCCTTTGCCCGCTGCCCTTGGAATTATGGCTCTCAATGGCAGAGTTTGTTGTAAAGGAAAGGAACAAATAATTACTCAAAGGATACTCAGGTTTGGTTAATGGCTAAATGTCACCCTTAAACCTCAAAATCCCTTCAAAATGATCACCAGCACACACAGTCCTGCCTTCCCCACTTTACCCAGTTAGGCCAGTCAGCCCAGTCAAGGGTACCATCCCTCAGAAGAAAAAGAACAGAAGTCCGGGCCTCGACTAGGCAGACCTCTCGCGGGTCTCAACACCATCCACTGCGTCGCCACGATCTCCAGCTCTCAATCCATAACCATATAGCACCTTCTCATGGCCCACTACCAAGAGTCCTTTTTCCCCTCCTTCTCTCCTCGTGGTCTTCACACTGTTCCCCAGAGTCTGTGTCCCTTTGTCTCTCCTGCAGGCCCCTGTCTCTTCTCTTTCTCTCCCCCAGTTACATTCTCTGTTCAGTCTTTGTAATCTTCTTAATTAGCTTTAGTGATACACAAAATAACCCTCTTTGCAAATGAGGAATGAAGCTATTCTGTTATTGACATGCAAAATGACTCTAAAGTGTCCTGCTCAAGGTCCAATCCCCCAAGGGGTCCGGCCCTGGGGTGGGGAGTATATTTGTCTTGGACACACCAATCTCTGGACCACATTGCAAATACCCTTTGGGGCGGGCCCTGGCTGTGCCCTGCTACAAGAGAACCATAGATTGGTTGCCACTCATACGCATCCTGATTGGGGATCGATCCTGCAACCCAGCTAAGTGCCCGGATCAGGGAATGAGCCTGCACCCTTTTGGTATAAGGAACAATACTCCAACCAACAGGGCCACCCAACCAGGGCTCTGAAATACATTTTTTTAAGTTTCTCTCTGTTTTTTGTTAAAAGATTTGCTTTGTAGCACTTGCCAATTTTCATAGTGTCATTATTGTTAACATGATGTCACTGAATGAGTTGGGAAGACATGCAGTCAATCAGCTGAAGCCGATGAAGAGCCAGCAAGAAAGAATTAATTCAAAAGAAAAAGTTCACCAGGAGCAGATCATGGTGTTAAATCAGTGTGTCCTTATAGTATAAAAAACACATAAGCAAAAACTGATGAATTTCAAGGGAGAAAAAGACAAATCCACAATTGTAACTATGCAACATGTTTTGCACAAGATTTTCCATATATCTTATAAGAGATGATGAACAAGTGAAAAATGTTAATTAGGGATAAAGAATTATAAACAACGCCAGTAGAAAACCTTACCTCATTCACTTATTAACAGCACTTATACGTGACAACAGAATGGATATTCTATTAAAGTTATAGGGAAATGTTGACCATACAATAATGTTAAGAGCTATACCTCACTCTGCTCCGGACTACATTAAGAGGATTTAGTGATTGCCACTTAAAGAGGTTAACCCTGGTGACAGACGTTTCTAAGGCCTGCTTTATATCCCTGTTCCTCAGGCTGTAGATGAAGGGGTTCAGCATGGGGGTAACTACCGTGTACATGACCGAAGCAATTATGTCTTTGGAATCCCACGATGAGGACAAAAAGTAAACACCTGCAAGTGTCCCATAGTATAAAGACACCACGAGGAGATGGGAGCCACAGGTAGAGAAGACTTTCAAGAGTCTCTTAGTGGAGGGAGGCCTCACAATGATCGTCCCTATGCAGATGTAAGAGCCCAAAACAGTAGCCAAAGGAAGGAAATAAACCATTCCTCCCTCGGTGAAGATGACCAGCTCATTGAGGGAGACGTCTGAGGAGCTCAGCTTCAGAAGCACAGTGAGGTCACAGAAGAAGTGGGTGACACTATTGCCAGCACAAAAGGATAATCGGACCAAGAGGAGAGTGTGCACCAGTGCATGAGCACAGGCAATAATCCAGGAGGCAGCCACCAACAGTACACACAGCTCATCCCTCATGATGGTGGTATAGCGAAGGGGGTGACAGATGGCCACGTACCTGTCATATGCCATCACAGCCAGAAGGAAATTGTCAAGACTAGCAAATAATATGAAAAAATAGAGCTGAGAAATGCATCCCATGTAGGGGATGGATTGTTGCCGAGTCTGCATGTTCATGAGCATGTTTGGAACAGTGACAGATGACAGAGAAATGTCAGAGAAAGCCAAGTGGCTGAGGAAGAAGTACATGGGTGTGTGCAGGCGGGAATCCAGCCTGATGAGCAGGAGGATGAGCAGGTTGCCCAGCACCGTGGTCAGGTACATGCCCAGGAACAGGGCGAAGAACGTGCCCTGCTGCCCTGGCAGGACGGGGAGCCCCAGAAGGAGGAACTCGGACACATGGCTCTGGTTCTCAGGCCCCATGCAGCTCTTCTCTCTGCCGGGGACGGAGGAGGTTTTGGAATCTTCTGTATCCTAGAAAGACAAGAATTATCACACCTCATACTCTAAGTCTCTGGGAAAATCATGAATTTTTTCTACGTTTATTAATTTCTTAGACCTGTAAAAGTATGCACCTTTGCTGTATCCCAGCCTGGTTCCAGGATGACACTGAAACCCCTACAACCAGCAAAACTTCACTGCACAGAAGCAGGAGGTGTTCACTGTTTCATCAGCCGTTGTTTATTGAACACCGAGTCCACGTCAGGACGTCTACTAAGGACCGAGATCCATCAGTGAACAGGTAAAGCAGGTCCCCGTTCTAGGAGTTTAGATCTCGATGAGCATGGAGGGACAATTTCTCCACCAGGCCAGAGCCATGCATAATAATTCACTGCGGCAGAATCAGATGAACCCAGAAACCTGGTATCAGTTGGTTCTGCCTTAAACTAACGTGAGGCTCCAGGGCTGAGGAGATATGGGAGCGATGGCAGTCTCCACGTGAGAACCTGCCGAGTCCCATCGACCTACAGCTGCAACCTCAGGGACTCTCAAGAAATTGTGGGCATTTAAGCCACTCGATGTCACAATAGCTCCCAAACCAGAAAAGTCCAGAAACTTTCATAAGAATGCTGAACATTTTGCTGAACGTCTGGGAGTTGAACTAAGGATTTTACCTATGCTTCCTAATTCAATCCACTCATCTGACTGACATTCCCAGAATTTAAGACCACGTCACAGCTACAGTAAGAATTTGTGGTCTTTTACCTATTTTAGCTTTTAAGAAATAGAAACATAAATGATACAGACTCTGTAGTCACACAACAGCACGGTCGGGGACAAAATGGCACACACGTATGTATCTGTGTCTGTATTACATGTGATATGTAATGTATACACTTGTTACATATTTTTATTTTCTATGAATTACAATTTACCAAGTATTAGCTGCCTCGTGGGGTTCAGTGTAATACATCTGGTTGATCAGAACCCATGCCCAGAGCCAGTTAACATGGAATCTTTCCATTTGTTGGTAAGGGTAGCCAAGCACAGTATCTTATTTTAGAGATGTGCGGACTCAAAGTTGTCTAAAATTTTTTAGTGCCCTTACTAGATAATTTCATTCCTTCATATTCATATACTTTTCAAGTGAAGAAAAATTTTCCAGTATTTTAACTTCTTTGTATTTATCCAACAACCGTTTACTGAAGGCTTTTGTAAGATTCACCAGGCAAATGTTCCTCCCAACTGATGGGTGTGGAAAATGAGTCTAGGACTTAAGCAACTTTCCCAAGGTCTCGCCGCCTTTGGGTGGTGATTCTACCATATACTTTCACACAGCAGGATGCCTGGAGTGGTTTTCTTAGTTGTTTTTCTGTTTGTTTGTTTGTTTTATTTTTAATTGGCCTGGAACTTCAATAAAACTAAAAGTTTGCAAAATTGTGAGCAGCTCAGTCACACTCGGGTACGTGAAAATGATAACCGATTTGTTTCAAAAACAGGGTTGCTTAGAGTTTGGTTTCTTGAGCTAATGGTGCCCCAGAATGAGGACACTTAAGGAAACACATGAGGTCATAGGTGGAGATCACACACACATAAACACACAGAGTGCTGATCTTTGAATTTCAGTCACTTGTGACCAAGATCCCACCCTAAAGGAAAGAGAGCCAATACGTGGTTCTGCTCAAATACTCATATGTTGGATCGGACTAAAAGCCCATTACACTTTTTCCATAAAATAAAAAGATACCTTTCTCATGTTCATCACTAACTTCATTGATTTGACTATTTTGAGTAAGTCAGCTATCTTCCACCGTTGGCTTCAGTGGGTACAGACCAGGGGTGCTGCTAAACACCTTCCAACACATAAGACAGCCCACGGCAAAGAATATTGGGCCAGAATGTCCATCGTACCAAGAAACTTTGCAAACCAGTTTTGACACGTTCAATCAGTCACAGCACCTTCTCCATACACTGCACAAACCTTTTTCTGTGCATCATTTGCAGTCTCACATTTCTTGAGGAAATAAAACAGTGTAGTCCAAAAATGTTGCATATTTTTGCCCATCCTCAAAATTAAAATGGGAGCACAAAAATTCACCAATTTTGATAAGTCTTTAAAAATGCACTCTGATGTCACAGCTGTCACAGTACAACCTAACAAAATTGTTTCCGATGAAGTTAAAGGCACCTAAGCACTACCAAGAGCCATCGTACAGAAAAAACTAAGCAAACTTTTTGGCCAAGCCAATACGTACATACAATCCTGAGTAACACACAAAGTGAGACATACACACAACACAATGATGGAGCACTCACCCGCACACCCTGACAATGCACAACAACACAACTGACTCATGACACACCTGGTAAACACTCAACTCACCACGTACACAAAACTCAGACACCATACACACATCACCAAAAGCACACAAGACCACAAAACATTCAAATTATCACAAGAAACTCACTCCAACGACACATATGCACACCCAGCCACACACTCGCTACAATAAGGAGCACACACACCCCTACTAATAAAGAGGCCATGCTTCCGCCCCTTCTGACACATCTCCTTGTCGGGGGAAGGCGGTCAGCGTGGGGCAGAGAAGCCTGTTCAGCCACAGGTGCACTCATTAAACCACCACCCACACCCGAGGCACATGGCCACACACATGGTAACATACAGAGAAATCCAAACGACACACCCTCCTGCTGTCACACACGAGTGTGTGACCCACAGTCTCACCAGCACACGCCGCTGAGCAGAGGTGCGGGGTCCCTCTCTGACCTGACCGTGGCTCCTCTGAGGTCTGGCATCTTCCTGTCCAGTATGAGATCAACGAGTGTCACTCCCGATGCTCAGCTGTGATGTCAGTGCTTACGGTCACGGGCGTGAGTGGGGAGCCCCTAGAGGTCGATACTTCAGTCTATGTGGGCTAAACGGGCCTGGGTTTGGCCTAACTCAGGAAGAGTCAGGCCGTGAATCAGGTCCATAGCACACACATGTGCACGCACATTCACAGACACACAGCTATCAAATAGCATGTCCACAAGCATGCGCAATACATGCAGACACAGTCATGGACACAAGTTCTCATATATGCACTTACTAGCACAGAGACAGAGCCGTCCCCAAGTGCAGACATCCAGCCCCTCTGACTGCGTTTTCCTCGGTGAGTTCAGACAACACTACTCCAGATTTTTCCCCAACTCCTCAGGTTTTCTTCAAAATTAGAGGAAGCATTTGGGGCCTTGGCACTTCTACAGACTTTCATTTTGTTTAAACAGTTCAGGAGGAATGACTCAAAAGATAACATGTCCTTACTAATGAGAGACTGACACCAAATCCCCAAGCTTCTGGCTAATTTCTGCCTGCCCTTTGGGGAGCTAAGTGTCCAAGAGCCAGAGGGGCTGGAGACCTAGGGGACAGCGTCTCTCTGATTCCAGTGATGCCCTGGACTCCTTTCTTCTTGGGCATTGTGCCAGCTGGGAAAAAGGATTTTTCAACTTTTTTTTTGAAATGATGTTAAAGATATACAAAGGTTGTATAAATGATATCAAGAACTTATGTATAGGCCTTATACAGATGTCCCAAAATTTAACATTTTACTATGTTTACCTTCTGTGCGTAGGTATGTATTAAAGTTGTATGTTTCAGGCTTAGATTTTCAGGAGATATACCACAGCACATATTATTAGAAAGCGTATGATATTAATTTCTCCAATTACTAGTGTTTTTATCCTTGATCAAATTGCTAAGGTAGTGTCTGCCAGGTTCTCTACTGCAAATTTACCATTTTTGAAAGTTACTATTTAACCTTGTAATTAATAGATATTATTTGGGTAGATAATTTAAAACTCTATAATCATAACTATTTCCATCTTAACCTTTCACCCACTACATTTAATATCCATTGATGATTCTTACATGACAAAATTTTGCAAATGCGGTCACCGGATGGTGATTTTTCTAATCTTATCATTTCTTCTGTTCTTATTAGTTGTATTTTCCTATAAGAGGAACTTTCCCTAATTCCCCACTCATATCCTTTTTATTTATTCATATATTATGGGCTCATGGATTTGTATGAGATATAATCCAACCATTTGATTCATTTTGAAACTTTAGGTTTGTTCATTGCTTACAAGCATTCTAAATGATCTGAGAGAGCCACTAGGAAATATATCTGAAAGAAACAGAGGAAGTCCAAAGTAGGGACTAGGAAACTAAAGATTGTTTACCCACAGAAGGTGGGCCCCGAAGAATGGGTGATGGGATCAGTATAGATGTTGACATGTAACATATAAATTTCTATCTCTTTATACATTAAAGCCCATGAGTTTGAATTGCTATCACCAGTTCTAGTTTGATGTCATAGAGTTCTTTCCAGCCTCTCCATTTCCATGTACATAGCACCTTTCCGACAAGAGTGAGGAGTCACTCCCCTTTACCTGAATGTTTACTTATTTGCTGAGTCTTTGGATACATGGAAAGTAGTTTCAGAATCTTGAACTCATGACACTCTTAGTGACACAGTAACTACAGCCTAAGACTTTGTCTCCAGCTTTTTCTTTTTATTGTGAGAGGACATAGACACAATTCTCAGTCCAATAATTACTTGTTACCTATTTTATTTTCCCCTTTAGTCTAATTATGTTATACTTTAAACATAGCTAGGTTTATTTATTTTGTCTTTTATTTTGCTTTATGCACCCCTTCTTCTTTTTATTTGTTAATTTTTTGTCAGTAGACACCATAGATGTGTGCTGGTGCATAGGTAAACACAGCTCGATGCGTAGGTAAACACAGCTTGCCTCCTAGAACAAACACATCAAAATTACAGCTAAACTACAGAAAAATTATTATTCAGAAACAGCTGAATGGAAATCCTACAACTACAGAATTAAGGAGGAAACCACATTGAAACTTATAGGATGGGCAGAGATGCAGAATGGGCTGGTCCCATAATCCTTTGAGGCAG